AAAAAAAAAAAAAAAATATATATATAAATATATATATATATATATACACAAAGTATATACACATATATGTATACATGAACTGCTCATGAAGAAGTTGGTCCAGTTGGTTTTATCCTAAAGAAAGAATAAATAAGATTAATTTGAAACAAAAGTTTAAAAAAGGTGTTGTTCCACAATGACGTTCTCAAGAATGAACCATTAATATGAATGTGTCATAGTATAAAACATGTTTGAAGTGTACGTAGTAATGCATACTGTGAGAATTGAAAACGGGGCGTGGGAGGAGGAAGAGAGGGAAAGAAAAGAGAGAGAGAGCTTGAAAGGCGAAGGTAAGTCACGGTCAAGTGTGTCTGCACAGGGATTCTGTTCATCAGGTGCCAAGGCTGCTCTCAGTGAGTAAATTATATTTGAGTTCAGATTTCAATACATGCATTTCTGTGTGTTTATTTCCAAATATTAGTAAGTGCTTTAAGTATATAATGTAATAAATCTGTTCAAATTGGTATTATTGATAAAACACAATGGAAGTGATACAAAACATATTAATAAATAGATCTTAAGTTACTATAAAGGTTTGTTTTGCATGAAAATAGATGTTATATATTTTTTGGCATTTATTTACAAAATTTCAAACTGTAACTTTATGATGATGAGACCCTTAATTTGTGCAAAGTACATCCTTTACATATACTGTAGCTTCTGATGTTTCTTAGTTTAGTGATTTGTAGCCATTTCATTGAATGATGTCTTGTAAACATATTTTTGTCTTTGTTTTGACCAGATGCCACTTGTTCCACCATGACCCTCCTCTTCCATGCTGGTGATTATTGAGCATCATTGGAAATCTATGTGTGTGCGTCACCTCAGGCCCCTGTAACCTGGGGGACACGCTGCTTTCCACGTTCCTGTCCCCCTCACAGTCCAACCACACCTGGTGCCAACATGGATCTGAGCCACTTGGGAGACACGAGCAGTGACTGTGAAGGATCAAACTGTAGCTTAGCATTCAAGTTCTCTGAGAACTGCTCCAACCAAGACTGCTACTGGGAGGAACCTATGTTTGGACTGGTAGAGTTAGGTGAGTAAAACAGAAGCCTGCAGCATTTCCAGATCATAGTATTTGTTAATCTGGCACATTTTTACAGATTTTATTTAGGAATGCAGGAATGTGTTGTGCTTCGTGATGCAGATGGTTTCCACCCTTGTTTAAAGGCTTTCCACAAGTTTTCAGAGTTTTTGTAGGAGTTTGTGGCCATTCATCCTGAAGAGCTTTACTGAGGTCACATCTGACCTGCAGTCTCTGGTCCAGTTTATCCCAAAGGTGCTCGATGGGGCAGAGGTCATGTTCTTTCACGAAAAACGAATTGAACTACGTCTTAAATGTCCAGTCATGTTGGAATAGGGTTTTCCTCAAAGTGTTCAAAATGAGCATTAAGGCTGCTACTCAGTGGAGGCGAGGGGCCTACCCTCAACCCTGACTGATTCACCTAATTCAACAACAGTGTGAATGTTTATTGCTGAAGAACTTTCTGAGAAACACCTGAAATTAATTAAAAACATGCTGAAATGTAGCTGGAATGGAAGAACAAGTCTTCATTTTCAGAAGAAAGCAGAAGGAACACATATTTGCTCAATTAGGTTTAAATAAGCAGGAATGAGCACAAAAATTAACAAATTACCTGAAAATACTGAAATCAGCCAAAAAATAACAACTGAAAAGTAGCTGAAAAGGCAGAAAGAAGCTTAAAATACCAAAAGGTAGTGAAAGAAGCTTAAATGAACTAACATGTGGAATTAGCTGAAAAAGCTAAATTTAGCACAAAACGGCTAAAAAGTAGCTGAAATAGCAGAAAAAGCTGAAAGAAGCTGAAAGGAGCATAAGAAGCTGAAATGAGCAGAAATAAGTTAATGAGGCTGAAAGTAGCAGAAATTACCACGGAAAACTTGAATTTATCTGAAAACAGCTGAAATTAGCTAAAAATGCCAAAAACAAGTAGCTGAAAATGTAGAACAAGCTTAAATTAGCAGAATAAAGCAGAAAGAACACATTTGCTGAAAGAAATGGAAATAAGCAATAAAAAGGATAAATTATCTGAAAAAAGCTGAAATTAGCAAAATGACAGCTGAAAAGTAGCTAAACAAGCAGAAAGAAGCTTAAGTTACCAGAAAAAAGTGGAGAGCACATTTTTGCTGAATTAGGATGAAAAAGTTGACATGAGTGCAAAAAATGTGGAACTAGCTGCAAAAGCTTAAATTGGTATAAGAAGCTGAAACAAACACAAACAGTGGAAAATCTAGCTGAAAGTAGTTGAAACTACCAGTAGCTGAAAAAAGTTTGAATTTGCACAGGTAAGCTAAAAGAAGCTGAAGCAGAACAAAATGTGAAAGGAGCAGTAAAATGTTGTCAAAAGAAAGATCTAAAGCTTTGAAGGCTGTAAAATGAGCTAAATTCATTTTATATGAGGGAGAAAAAAATGACAGAAAAGGCTAAATATTTCAAAAAGCTGAAGTTGCACCAATACCAAAGTCGGCAGGATTGTTCTGAACGAGCTGAATGTTTTGATGTACGATGTATTTAAGTACCTTGAAAACTGCGGGACAAGAATCGCACCGAAAAATGTACGGAAGAAAAATGGATCACAATAGAGTGAATGCTTCATGAACATTCACACTATTAACAGATGTGACCAAATGCTTTTGTCTATATATACATACAGGTATAGCTCGAAAAGCTAATGCTATCAGTGGTTCTATAGACTAGTTTGCTAACAAGAGAAGGTGGTCAACCTATTTCTAATTTTCCCAACCAAAACTGCAGAAGATTAACAATAAATATGTTCTAAATAGCAAAACCAATAAAGTAATTATTAGTTGTTAAGATTATACTTTTTTTCTAGTTGCTCACTTGTAGCTAGCTTAGCTTGACAGCTCTGGTTAAATGTCTTAGTTTTGTGAGTAATTAAATAATTTTGTAATTCAAAGTCTTGTCAAATGAAGGTTTAATCTTTATGAGTCTAAGAGAAGTAATTTAAAACACTTTATTTATTTCCAGTTTGTGTTACGGTGGTTTACATCTCTCTGATGATGTTTGGCCTGCTTGGCAACATATTAACTATCCTGGTGGTTTGGCTCCGCCCACACATGAGAAGCTCTACGTACTTGTACCTCAGCAGCATGGCTGTCAGTGACCTGCTCATCCTCCTCCTGCTGCCTTTGGATCTCTATAAGGTACATACAAAAGGCACATCCTTTGATGCTTATTCTGGCAATACATGATCAGATTCTCTTTTTCACGAGGTGCTGTCAGCACAGACTGTTAATTCCATCAAGCAGCAGGTTTAAAGCGTAACTTTTTGTCATAGAGGTGTTTCCACGTGACTGTTTAAACAAGTTATTGTTGCTTCCCCTCAGGGGAAAGCCTGCTAAATTCAGTTGTGCTGCATTCAAGTGCCGTGTCATACTCAGGGTGATCTTAAATCATTTTTCAATAGTTTCCTCTGCACAAAGGCTTTATCTGCCTAGATAATAAGGTGCTGCAGCATTATGTAATGTGAAAAAAAAAACTTTTGTTAATTATGAGCTCTCTAAACCTATTGTAGTAGACATCCAACATTAAATACAGAACTTAGAAATGTGTCTGTTATAGGTTCTATAAAAAAAGTAGTGTCTCTGCAGGTAAATAAGAACAAGATCCATTTTCCAAAAGTGTAGCTAATGTTAGTTGAACTGGCATGGAGTAGTGCAGTCCATCTTCAGTCAAACTCTGAGCTGGATTCATGTCACATTCAATGCAAACATGGTCCACTTTGGTTTAAGTTTGAAATCCAGTATAAATTGCTAACTGTGCTCAGAGACCAGACTAACTACTACGAGCAACACAAACTGATAACAATGTTTTCTTTCTCTGCATTTTATTTATAAAGTAAAGGAGAAAAGATCAGGCTTGATCTGTTGGTGCTCGAAGTATGTGGCAGGGCCAATGCTCAGTTGTTACCACACCAATTCTATCTCTGTATTGATCAAATTATGTAAGTTGTAGCACTTTTTTGTGTTTTCTGGCATCATTTGGCTGATGCAGCCATCTTGAACTGGGCTGACTCCAAAAGTGAGCCAGTTCTACAGTAAGTGTACAATCAATAACAATTTAAAGAGTACTTGCACATATTGGCCTTATATTTGATTTCTCTATTCTAACACAAGTTATTGTTTGTGACACATTTAAACTCCTAATTACTTAAAAAAAATTACATATGTTTATTATATTTTCTCCTAAGAATGTCGTCATTATTTTACCAGCACAATGCATTCTGGGGGCGATGACATACAAAGATTGTTGTGGAGAGTATAACACAAGGAGTAGGCTTAAAATTGATAAAATATGACATTAAAGACATCTTTTTGTATCAGTCCTTATACACAATGCATATTGACAATATATATTGCCAGGCCATCACTGTAAATAAGAATTTATTCTTAGTATTTATGGTTAATCCTCTAAAAAAAGTTAAATCTGGTCCTCTGGACATTCAAAAAAAAAAATAAATAAATAAAACAATTGTAGAAACATTTCACCTTTCATCCGAAAGACTTCCTCAGTCTGAGGTGCTGTATTCAGCTCAGTCTTATAAATAACACACTCTCGCAGTGGAGCAACCAGTTTGCTGCTGACAACCAAAATCAGCTGCTCACATGATCAAGAAGGACCATCAGCCTAACAATGGATCATTAGCACCCTGATGGCTGTTTACTATTCACAGGGGGTTGAGTGATACTAGCAATCACAGCATTGTAAGAGGGGGACAGTTGAACACGGAGGCCTCCACCCCTGTTTAATGATGGATGATTACTTTTCACAAAGATGGCCTCCTTTACTCCTCTCTCAAACCATCGTTTCTCTCTATCAAGGATGTGAACATCTTCATCCCTGAAAGAGTGACTGCTGGCCTGGAGATGAGTGTAGACCATAGAGTCCTGGCCTGAAAAACTCTGCAGTTCCTTGAGTAAGTTTCTTCTTGAGAGATGGTTTTGATGTTCAGTTTCTCTCTTACTGTAAGTAAGCAAGGCTGTCACAGAGGTGAAGCCCAAAAAGGTTCTAGTAGCAAAGAGTGAGGATGTTCCCGGAGGTTTCATACAGTTGGTGTGCAACTGGTGGAAGGCCCTGAATGACTGGAGAGATCATGAGGAGGCTCAGGAGATAACCAAGGAGGTCCAAGGCTCAGGAGGGACGCATGAGTAAAAGCTATAACACGGAGAAGGAGAGACTAGTTTTCACAATACACAGGGAATAATGTACAGGCTAGGAACACAACTATCGATTAGCTGATAATGCACCAGCGTCACATTGCAGTCATCAACTGCCTTAAGTACTCCTGCAGCTCATTAGGAGAATGGTCCTTAGGTGTGGTTCTACTGGCACCCTCTGGTGTAGGAAAGCTGCAGGAAAAAAATGGAACTCCTACATTTATAAAGGTGAAAAAAAAAGGGTTAAAACAATCAAACATGTTCAACTTGTGATGTTTGACTTAGTTCTGGAATTAATGTCATATATACTTTATTTATATATATATATATATATATATATATATATATATATATATATGCCTGGGGACTTTGGGTTGGGCTCTCCAATCTCTGGTGCCAGGGTCATCGAGGTGGTTAAAAAGCTCCTCGGTGGCAGGGACCCAAGGGTGGATAAAATTTGCCCTGAGTTCCTTAAGGCTCTGGATGTTGTGGGGTTGTGGTGGCTTACACGACTCTGCAATATTACGTGGAAATTGGGGGCAGTTCCCCTGGATTGGCAGACTGGGGTGGTGGTCCCACTATTCAAAAAGGGGGACCACAGAGTGTGTTAGAACTACAGGGGCATCATGCTCTTAAGCCTCCCTGGTAAGGTCTATTCAGGGGTTCTGGAGAGGAGGGTCTGTCGGATAGTCGAACCTCAGATTCAGGAGGAGCAGTGTGGTTTTTGTCCTGGTCGTGGAACACTGGATCAGCTCTACACCCTCAGCAGGGTCCTGGAGGGTGCGTGGGAGTTTGCCTAACCAGTCTACATGTGCTTTGTGTACTTGGAGAAGGCATTCGACCGCGTCCCTCGGGGAACCCTGTGGGGGGTACTCCGGGAGTATGGGGTACCAGGCCCTTTGGTACGGGCTGTTAGGTCCCTGTACGACCGGTGTAAGAGCTTGGTCCACATTGCCTGCAGTAAGTTGGGCTTGTTCCCAGTGAGAGTTGGACTCCGCCAAGGTTGTTCTTTGTCACTGATTCTGTTCATAACTTTTATGGACAGAATTTCTAGGCACAGCCAAGGAGTTGAGGGGATTCGTTTTGGTGGCCTTAGGATTGCTTCTCTGTTTTTTTTGCAGATGATGTGGTCCTATTGGCTTCATCAAGTCATGATCTACAGCTTTCGCTGGAGTGGTTCCTAGCTGAGTGTGACACGGCTGGGATGAGGATCAGTTCCTCCAAATCCGAGGCCATGGTTTTGAGTCAGAAAAGGGTAGAGTGCCCTCTCTGTGTCGGGGAGGAGGTCCTGCCCCAAGTGGAGGAGTTCAAGTATCTCGGGGTCTTGTTCAAGAATGAGGGAAAAATGGAGCGTGAGATCAATAGGCAGATAGGTGCAGCGTCGGCAGTGAAGTGGGTGCTGTACAGGTCTGTTGTGGTGAAGAGAGAGCTGAGTCAAAAGGCCAAGCTCTCAATTTACTGGTCGATCTACGTTCCTACCCTCATCTATGGTCATGAGCTTTGGGTTGTGACCGAAAGAACAAGATCACGGATACAGGCGGCCGAAATGAGTGCAGGGTGTCTGGGCTCACCCTTAGAGATAGGGTGAGAACCTCGATCATCTGGGAGGGACTCAGAGTAGAGCCGCTGCTTCTCCACATAGAGAGGAACCAGTTGAGGTGGCTCGGGCATCTGGTTAGTATGCCTCCCTGGTGAGGTGTTCCGGGCACGTCTCACCGGGAGGAGACCCAGAGGAAGACCCAGGACATGCTGGAGGGACTGTGTTTCTTGGCTGGCCTGGGAATGCCTTGGGATCCCCCCAGAGGAGCTGGCCCAAGTGGCTGGGGAGAGGGAAGTCTGGGCCTCCCTACTTAAGCTGCTACCCCCGCGACCCGACCCCAGATAAGCGGAACAAAATGGATGGATGGATATATTGTAACAAGTCTGTATGGATCGGCACAACACCTGACTCAGGACAACATTAAAATAAAAGGTTTTATTTTATTAAAGGCGTTCGTCTGAAGGATCTGAGCCTCAGTTCTGGTCCAATCTATGAAGACAGACAGGTTAGTGACTGCAAAAAAGGTTCTGGGAGCTGAGAGGTGGTGTGCACGTCACTAACCTTCTGTGGCAGGAGCAGAGCTGAGACAGAGAACGTTGGAGGGCTGGGCAGGAAACAGAATCCAGGGACGTAGCAGGGGTCGAGAGCCAGGAGCGTGTAAGCTGCAGGCGTGGTATCCAGACAAGGGCAAGACAAGGCGAGGAGTCAAGAACAAAGCTGTGGTCATAAACAAAGAAACTGTGGACGAGGAATGCTGGATAATTTACTTGCTGTGAGGCTTTCAATAATCTGGCACTGAGGAGAGTGAGAGTGGAGCTTAAGTAGTGAGCTGAACAGGTGTGGCAGGTGAGTGGTGATTGCAGAGACAGGGTGCAGCAGATGAGTGCAGATTGCTGAGAGAGAGTGACAGGAGCAGAAAATGGGTGATAGGCAGTGCAGGACCAAACAGGATGAAATAAACAGAAAACTGAGGCAGGAAAAAACGTGAATGATCTTAAAGCAGGGGCTGTGATATGAAGAGCAGAAGCTTAGGCAGATGGGGGGGCAGCGGGGGCCGCTGACCGTGACATAGCCCCCCCCTTTAAGGTCCGGCATCCTGACGGACCACCAAAGAGAAAGAACTAACAAGGACCGGGCGGGTGGAGGGGGCACTGGAGGTGGGCAAAAAGGCAGGTTGGAGGTCCGAAGGGACCTCCAGAGAAGCCCCAATACTCTGGTGGACGACCTGGCCACTGTCCAAAAAGTGGCAAAGTCCAGGTCAGATGGCCGTGTAAGCCTTGCTGGGGCCAGATCAAAGGTAAGACCAGGACCAGTGCTGCACCAGGCAAGAGGATCAGAGCTGCAGCCCACATGGATGTCCTGGAGGCCGCTTCGGCCGACGTGGGGGTCCTGGAGGCCGCTTCGGCCGACGTGGGGGTCCTGGAGGCCGCTTCGGCCGACGTGGAGG